TATGAAATGCTTCTGATGAAATGTTGATTTCCACCATGCTTCATGTCAGACATGAGAATCCAACCTCCTTTTCCACTCTTATCCACATCTCACATGCCAATCATTGCAAATTTCATTTAAAAAAAAATCATTATACAATATAATACTATGATGCATCTCGTGAAGGAAACATAGACAGGATCATAATTCATTACTCGATTCTGGAACCTCCTTTTCCACTCATATCCGCATCTCACATGCCAGTTATTGCAGATTTCATTAAAAATAAATCATTATAAAATATAACACTATGATGCATCTTGTGAACAGACATAGACAAGATCGCAATTCATTATCCAAATCTGGACTTCCAATACACAGTCCCAGATAATCACGCATGATTAAGATTTACACAATCCTGGTTAATTATATTTGATTAGGATTAATTTCACATACATAATTATATGGTTAGGTCAGACATTGTGTATCTGATTCTAAAATTCATGGAAAATCAGCAACTCAACATCAGACATACTTGAATGCAGCCAATCTTATTCGACAAGTAAATAAAATTAAACATGAAAGAGCGCAACTTCAAGACACAGGATCAATGTGCACTACAACTTCAGCATAAAAAACAAATTGACAAGGAAAGAAACTAAATAGCAATATTTTTTTAAAAAAATGACACCAAATTCCTAAATAAGACTAGACATTTAGCCAAATTCAAAATTACCAAAATATCCTTGTTTTGCAAAAATATGCAGTTTCCTGCAGAAATTACAACTGTGCTGCCCTGCCTACAGGATCACCCAAGACTCAACACTTGGTCCCCAACCGAGAAACTTACTGTGGACATCATTTTCCAGCCAAAACGACATTTTGATTGATAAAGAACCATTGCCAGACATTTTGATTGATAACATTGCTAATTCAGAGCTATAGTCATTGAACAGGGCTTCAAAAAAAAGGCCCAAGGAAAAAGTTGTTTTACGATCCATATCAATGCTCTAATTAGATGACTACAAAGGCACTCTTAACAGCAGCTTATTCCTGATTACACAAACAATTAAAAAAATATATTTGATAGGACAGCCTCCACCTCAAAGCCAAACACACATGGGACATTTCACTAAGGTTCAAGGACCAAAATCCTTGTCATCCACCCTCCTAGGGATTTCTGAAAGTGTAGCATTCAATACAATGAGAAAGGGGGGCAGAGGATGCAATCTTTTGAAAAACATTTCGTATTTAGGAGAAGCAGGTATCCTCCATCATTCTCCTAAATGCTTGACCCCCATCATTTTCAACACCACAACTAGCAATAGCACCTCAACATGATAGAATTGAAAAGGAGAAGCTTCAACACAATGCCAGCAACTCAAAGGCAATATTGCCCACCTAGGCTATTATCATAATTCTAAACATCGATTTTCATCTAAGAGTTCAAGAGAAAATCATCAACTAAGAGAAAATTCCAAACCTACCTGGAAAGCAGGACCCCCTTCTGCAGAATTCATGATACTCCAGCCACCCATAAATGCAAAGAGGAACAATCTCCTAAAAATGACTTCCACCGGAGGAAGTTCCACAAAATCGAGTAAATTCTTCACCCAAGGAGGAGACTCCTCCACCTTCTTCTTTAGCCTGGTTTTCAAATTAATTTTTGTTTTTTTCCTCTCTCTAAAGCTAGTCATCAACAGTTTCTCAAAGGCAGCTTCTATTGATTCTTCACTTGTTTCATATCCAGCATATTGTTGCAGGAGAAAATTGCGGGAACTCCAAATTTCCTCTTCAGATGCATAGGGACTGATACCTAGACGCTTATAAGGATCCCAAACATTCGTCCGAGGAAATTTTGGGATGTTACCTACAGAAGAAGTAAATGCACATGAGAAAATAATTTGAACAAACTAACAGTAAGACAAAATTAAGGGATCACAAACTGTATACGTGAGCCACTAGGAACCAGACTTCGTAAGCATAAACCATAAGCAGCAATCTGCTAACAATAGACGAAGTATGCACTAAGCATCACTCGCAATCAATTTTATGGTCTTGGTAAAATCAAAGTTCAGTTCTTACTCATACAGAATGTGAAAAGGGAGAAAACAAAAGGGTTTAAGAAGATCACCTATAGTACAAAAATCAAATAGGCAAACTCAAAATATCATTATTATTCTTTCAAAGTTCTCTGTGTGTTCATTAAATAGGCAGGGCATTTTACCTGAGCATTCATGGTCACTACAATAATTTAAAGAAAATCTCCTATGCATCGTCGACATGGATACTTGGAAAGCAGGACAAGTACCCACACTGCACATTGATTGAAAGAGATGCACATATTTTATCATAATAATATCAGAAGCACACTTGTTCACCTGACCCTCTACCCATTTTGTCTCTCTTTTTTGGATAAAATAGAAAGAAAAAAAAATTAATCCATAATTTGCATCCAAATATATATCAACATAAGTATCAAAACAAAACAATTCAAGCGTCTAACAAATAATAATAATGAAAATGAAAATGAAAAATTTATTACCTTCATAAGGTGCATCCACAGCACATTTAATACTGGCAAGGCCAATTCTAGGGCTTCTTGAAATTGGGGTGTAGAAATATATCCCTTTTTTTGTGTGTTCTTGTGTACATCTTCTGATAAGAAAATAAACAAATATTCGAAAATATAACCGAAATACCCAAATTAAAAAAAATATATACATGAATATATAGAGAGAGGGAGAGGGAGAGACTGTATGAATAAGAGACTTACAGTTTATGGGAAAGGACTAAAGGAGATGAGATGGTTGTAGCAATACTAGAATTTGAGAGAAACAGAGAACAAACCATTCTTTCTTTCTCTCTCTCTCTCTCTCTGTTTTTTAACGATTATCGCTCTCCCCCTCAGTCTGCGAAGCCTCCCAGGCTTGTTCTTCGGCTTTGGCTCTGGCTCGGGGGTAAGAGGCAAAGGGCAAAGTAAGGTCGGCTATTTTCTATCATGATTTTGCTTTTTTCTATTTTTCTTTCTAATTTTTGTTTGTGACCTCAATTTGGTACTATACGTACATTATCATTCTCAATTACATCCCAAACTTATAAGTCTTACCAATTAGGTCTCCAATGTTTCCTACATCTTTTTTCAATTTGGTACCTGCCAGTCCATTGTTCATGCTGTATGCACTAACAATTTGATGGAAAAATTAACAAATATTTAACATTTTTTTTTTTATCTAATATGCATGTTTATACACTATCAATTCTAAGGAAATTTGACAAAAATATTGATGTTGTTTAGCAAAAATACTTGATTAATCTTTTTTTTTTAATTTGAAATTATAAGTTTAATAAATATATAGGTTTAGGACGGAAAAGTATCACAGATATGTGTATCAATTTGCTAATTAAGAATATCAAAAATATTCACATACGGTTTTGTTGGGATTTTGTTTAGAATCATAGTTAATAGGAAAATTTAAGGTAAAATTATTTATTTTTTTGGGTTAAAACTTTGCAAGAATATAATCTTTAATATAAGTGTAACACCCTATCTCATTAGTAAGATATTATTCGTTTTGACATACACACTTCACATATTTATTCTTGAAAAACATGCATGGCTTCAAAACACATATTTCCAGTTAAGGTGAGCATGCTCATATAAGACCCTTCTTTATTTTTTCACTTGTTAATGTGAGATATTACAATCCACCTCTTTAAAGAACCTAACAACCTCATTGGTACCATCAGACAACTAGTGAACCGAGCTCTGATATCAAATATAACACCTCACCTCACTAGTAAGATATTGTCTACTTTGACCCACATGCTTCACGAATTTGTTCTTGACAGCCACACATAACTTCAAAACACGTCTTTCTAGTAAAGGTGAACATGCTCATATAAAACCCTTCCCCAGATCCTCACCCACCGATATAGGATATTACAATAAGTCTTTTAACACGGCACATTAAAATAAGTTAAATAAATTATGGGTGAATAAGAAATTAATTTTAAAGAATTTTTAATTGGTATATTTTATAGAAACCCAAAACTCTCTAAAAGCTTCTATCTCATATAAAAAATAAACAAACTTTCATAATTGTTTATTTATTGGGAATGAGAAAAGTTAAAATTGGATACAAATAGTATACATATTTTTAGAAGAAAGATGATTTAAGTAAAATGGACTTTAGATTTAAATCTGTGCATGCTTGACTTGAGATGGACTTGAGCTTGGGTTTATTATAAAATAATTTTTTGGATTACAAAACATTTTCCCACTTAAATTTAGGATTCAGTTTGGTGTACAAAAAATCATTTCTTTTAAGGCAGCTCACTATTTTATCTAGCACTTTAATGTAAATATTTGATTAGTTTTTTCATGACCTGAATTGTTTTTACACCTTAAGAGTCATATGATTTAAATTAAAATAGCATTCAAGTTTAATTTCTATTTAGGGATTAGGGTAATAAAAGATGATGGTGGAGGAGTTTTATCAGTTATTTGGTTTCTAAAGTCATTTATAAAAAAGGTGCGGATGGATATAAAAACATCTTTTTTAAATGGTAACCTTGATGAAGAGGTTTACGTAAAATAACCCAATATGTTTGTTGTTAATGGACAATAAAAGAAAGTATGTAAGTTTGTTAAATCATTATATGGCTTGGAACAAGCACTTAAACAAATGACATGAAAAATTTGACTAGGTTATGTTGCTAAATTAGTTCAAAATCAACAAGGTTGATAAATATATTTATATGAAAAACACAAATAAATGTATATTATTGTTTGTCTCCATGTTGATGATATGCATATTTTAGACATTAATAATTACATGATCAAGTCTGTTAAAAACATGTTAGCTAATAAACTTGACACAAAACTTTTTGGTGATGTAAATGTCATATTAAAAATAAAAAACTTTAGGACATTTCATGATTTGGCATTGTCTCAATCTCATTATATCAAAAGAATTCCTGATAAATTCTAAAAAGGTGACAATAGCATTGTAAAAACACTAAAGGATATAAGTGTCTACATGTCCAAAAATAAAGATAAATAAATAAATCAATTAAAATATTTCTAAATAATTAAGAGCTTAATGTATGTTATAAATTGCATAGGACCTGCTATTACATACTCAATTAGAAATCCTTATAAATTTACCAATAATTCAAATATGGATCATTGAAACACAATAAAAAGGGTACTCAAATATTTTGATGTATATCTTAGATTATAGGGTACTTTATACTAGTTACTCAGCAATACTAGAAGGGTATAATGATATTAGTTGGATATTCCACACTAATAATTTAAAATTTATTAGTTGATATATCTTCATACTTGATGGAATAGATGTCTCATGGATATTCTCTAAACAAACATGTATCATAAGATCTATAATGGAATTAGAGTTTATTACTCTTAATAAAGCTAAAGAAGAAGCCAAGTGCTTTTATAATTTCTTAGAGGATGTCATAAATCAATTTTGGGTTTTCCCTTGAAATTTATCCTTTTCCTTTTAAAAATAAATAAAATAACATAAAATAAAATAACAACAAATGAAAACTTGCAGAAAACAGACCGAGAAGGGTTTCAAATATATATAAGAACCAAGCTAGAGTCTTAGAAAAAATTTAAAGCCTAATCATAACTCATTATACCCAAAACTAAAAAGACATTATAAATTCAAGGTCAAATTAATTGGTTATTGGAAACATATGCATGAAAATTAAGTTTGGGGACTTAATTAGACTTTTAACAGGCCAATTTGATTTAATCATGAGCCAAATTAAAATTTTAATTATGTTTAAAAATTAATTTGGATCAAATTAAATGATTTAATTAGGTGCAAGGATTTAATTATATTTTTAATGAGTCAAATTAATTTTATTAGGGACTTAATTGGTGAAACATTAAGTTTGAAAGCTTAATTTCGATTTAATTAAGAAGATTAGAATTTTAGAGGACCTAATTTTTTTACAAAGTTGATTGATTGAAATTAGAGATAAAATTATAAGAAAATCAAAATTTAGAGTCAATTATAAATTAACTTGAAGAGATTCATAATTCATTACCTATTTTAAAAAATCGTTAAACTTCGAAGACTAAATTTGGTCAATAACATGAGTGAAATTGAAGCAAATTAAAAGTTAAATGATTAATTGAGGATCGATTTGCATAAATTCAACAAAATCATATAAAATTAAAAGTTTGAAGTTAATTAGGGATGTAATTACAAAAAATTAAAAGATGAGTGACTAAATTGAATTTTAGTTAAATCCCTAATTAAAATTCTAAGAGTATCAAAATAGTGTCATTTCATTTAAATAAAATGATGTGTTTTGACTAACACAACATCATTTTGACCAACATAAAAAAAAAAGTGTCAGATGACTTATCGTTTGATCACTATTATTATCTTTAACCTTTTGTACACAAAAGATTGCTTGTGTAGCTACTTTTTGATGACATTGAATACCTCATTTCTCCAAACAAGACACCACTTTAATGGGTCGACACTTTACTACACCTCAATGTAATTATTGTTGGCTGGTCACCTTTAACCCAATAAGCTTTTTGCAGCTAAATTTCACAACTTATGATGATGACTTTTGGTCAATGGTTACGATCCTTTCTGTTTGAATTAAGTGCCAAGATATATTCCTAATAAAGACCATATGCGCATCTTTCATCCCTATAAATAATAATGAATTTTGTGTATTAAGCAAGGAGAAAAAAAAAGGTGGAAAATGAGCCAAAAAAACAAGCCTTTACGCATCATTTTTTAATTGCATTACTAACCTTATTTCCTTTTCCACCTCCACCTTGCCTCATCACCTAGCCTTAACATGACAGCCTATCGAGCCATCACCATGGATAACAACCCCTCCCTTTCATGGTTTCTTTTTCTTGGGTCATCATCAGCTTTCACAGTGTTAAAGATAGTAGCCTATTCTCACTCTTCATCGTAGCTTCAACCAGCTCCAGCCACTGTACATAACAAAGACCTCACCAATAGCCTCTTCCTTTGACCAAACCATTTAAGATAGTCAGCTCCTTTCCTTCACTTTATCTGTGAATAGCAGTAACACTAGTTCTAATAACTTGAGCAGCTCCTATTCTCAATAACGTGAGCAACAACCTTGCCAACTGCCAACTCCTCTATCAGTAACGATAACAACTTACCATCACAGTAACACTTTACTCCTTTTAGCCAGGTAACCTTCTCTTTTTTTTCTTTCTTTACCTAAATTTTGTTACATGCAGGATGTGAATTAATTCATGCCATACAACAACTAGTTTTCTCTTAAAAAGGGAGAGGGGGTTGGACACTGTTGGGCAGAGTCTAGCCCTATATGTTTTCTTTCAATAAAAAGAAATTGTTAGGCCTTTAGTCACCCCAACCCAACTAAATTAGGCTTGGACCCAGACTCAACTAGCTCATTTCCTAAAGGTTTATTTGCCTTACATACCCTAATGATTTCTCTTAGATTTTTAATTTGTTTTTGTTATAATATTTAACCAAACAAGCCTAATAAAAAGATAAAAAATCTAAAAAATTTCAAAGACCATTTTGAAATTATTTGCCAAATATTGAGTTGTAAACTTACACTGAAAGATACAGACTCGATATTAAAAATATCTAATTTATCTCTGAAGTTTAAAAAAAATCCCTCATTTTAAAAACAAAAGGAAGATTTGTTTTTATGCATACAGCTAAGTCCTAAATGTTTTTCATGTATATTTTCTATAAAGGATAAAATCATAATTTTATCATGTTTTAAAAATACAAAATAGATATCATAACTGATTTATAATTATCCATTAAAGTTTGACCAAAATACCAAATATCCCACAACAATTAGTTTGTTATTTAAAGTATTAGGATTTAGTTGTAGGGTTTAATATTTAGTAGGGTGAGTATAAAATTACACTGTAAAGTACAGTCTCAAGTATTGAAGATACAAAAAAAATAAAATAAATGTGATTCTAAAT